CCCAGGGGGCCCGCCCCTCTGCTTCCTCTCCCCGCCCCGCGGGCCCAGCGCCGGCTCCCAAGCCGCCTTCCTGCCCCGGCTGCCTGGGCCGCTCTGCACCCGTGAGTGACCCCGCCCGGCCCCGCGCGTTTCTGCTTCCCGAGGCTGGCTCCGCGGAGGGGCCTCGAGGGCTTCGAGCCCAAGGCCTCTGCTCGGGCCCTGGCACCCCAGGAGGCCGAGATGCTGGGCCAGACACGGAACCCCCTTTGCAAAGGAGGAACATACGGCGGTGGGTGACGCCAGGGATGCGTGTGATGAGGGGTCATTTCTGGGTTTCATACGGGTCTCTGCAGCTAACTAGAGGTCGCCATGGGGGGAGGGGGGATGCTGGGCCAAGAGCACGTGGGACTCCACGTGCTATTTGTGTAACTTCCTGTGAATCTGTGACTATTTCAGAATGAAGACCTGACGACAAAATGGGATCCCCTAGTAAATATAAGCCCCCCCCCCCGCGCCCCGCCCCCCGCCCCTCCCTGCTGTTTGAGCAGAAAGCTCAAGGGGGCGCTCTGCTGAGCTGGGAGCCCTCATTACATACCGGTCGCCCTCTGTCTGAAAAGAACACTCTGCTCCAGCCCATGGCCTCGTGAGCCCACGGAGCGGAGGAGACAGCTGGGCATGCGACCGCCTTATCGTCACCCAGCCCTGCCTGGCCCTCAACCCCCACCCCCAGCACCGCTCCCCGCTCGCTCATCCCCTCCCCCGCCAGATGAGACTCTGCTCCCCACCCAGCCTCCTGCTTCATGCCGTGTCGTCTGCCCTGACACGGGCACTCCATAAAATCAGATGAACGAATGAATGAGTGAATGAATGAATGAATGAATGCGCACATGGCCACAGTCCGGGCCTCCGAGAGGTGTGCAGTCTGGCGGGAAAAGCCAACAGGGCAGCAGGAGGCTCGATCTGGGGTGGTGTGTGCCCTGAGTGAGGGTGTCCAAGGGCCCGATGGAGTCCAGCTGGGGCTGGCGGGAGTGTGGCGGGGAGTGGGCGAGAGGTCAGTGACCTTGAGTAGAAACTTTAAGGTGGGAGGATGGTGAGGGCCAGCGCTCAGAGAGCTGGAGGGAGAAGTGGCCGGGGGAGCAGAGACCCGAGGGTGATTCTGGGCAGGGAAGAGAAGGACCCTCACGAGGCCCGCTAGGGACCTAGGTGGGGAGCTTGGGGAGCAGCCTGCAGAGAGACGCAGTGGGCGGCATCAGCACAGACGGCGCCAGAAGCCAGAGCTCGTGGGTGCCGCCTGAGGTGACGGTATAGAGTAAGAAGACCAAGGGCGTCCGTCTGGGACCCCAAGGCAGGGCCCCGGTTTGGGGGCGTGGGGAGAGGCTAACCTGGGGTTCCAGGGGACTGAGGAGGAGTGGCAGAGGAGCTCGGAGGAAACCGGGAGAGGGTGGTATCGGGAAGTCGAGGCAGATTTCTAAGGAGGAAGGGGCACAGGGCTGGACACGGCTGGGCTGTTTGTTCAGAACTTTAAAAAAAAACAAAAAAACCCAACGATTTGCTTTTTTATTGTTCAAGGTCCACAGCGGGACGTTTACGTTCTTAACCGTTTTTACGTGTGCAGCTCAGTGGCATCGAGTGAATCCACGCTGTCGTGCGGCCATCGTCACCGTCCGCCTCCAGAACTTTCTCATCCTCCCCAACTGAAACTCTGTCCCCGTCAAACAGTGTCACCCACGCCCTTTCCTGGTGCCCGTCGTTCTGTTTCTCCATCTTTCTGGATTTGTCTTCTTCGGGTGCTTTACGAAAGTGGGATCAGACGACATTCGTCCTTTCGTACCTTCGAGGTTCGTCCGGGCTGGAGCACGCGTCAGAAGCCTTCCTTTTTAAGGCTGAACGTACTCCGTTTTATGGATACGCCACATTTGGATGACCCAGGTACGTCTTTCGTGCGAGTTGGTGTCTTTCCTTTCTCCCTCCCTCCCTTTATCCCTCTCTCTCTCCCTTCCTCTCCCCAACCTGCCTTCCTTCAGGGAAGTCCTGACTGAGGGTCACTTTTGACCCGTGGGGTTTGAGCCACGGGCATCTCTGAGGGAAGAGCTGCTCCAGAATGATGGAGCCTCAGGTGCGAAGGCCCTGAGCTGGGAGGGAGGCCTGGGGTGTCTGGGGACCAGAGGGCGTCCAGTGTGGCTGGGGCAGAAACAAACAAGGGCAGTGAGGTCACCGGAAAGTTCGGACTCCATGACATGAGCGCTACCTTGTCCCCACTTTACAGACGGAACAATGAGACTGAGAGAGGGGATGTGGCTGGCTCAGGGTCGCTCAGAGAGGGGACATGGCTGGCCCGGGGTCGCCCAGCTGGCAGGTGCAGGGAGAAGCATGCCAACGCCAGCACTATGTGAAACTCTGCTTCATGGTCAGAATCTTCGATTGTCTCCGGAGGCGATTTGAAGAGTCAGATCCATTTGAGCTCTGATTTGCGTGTTTTGATGCATTTTTTTTAACTTTATTTTTTATAAAGTAACTCAACGAGCCCTTCCCCCAATCCCGAGAGGAAGGCGCCTTTATTACCCCCAAGGTACAGAGGAGGAAGCGAAGCGGCATCCGAGATTACTCAATGCTGAGTGGTGGGGCAGGATTCGAACCTCTGTGGGGAGCCAACCACCGCAGGGAGCGCGATGCCCCAGAGCAGAGGAGACAAAGGAGCAGGTGCTGGTGGGTGGGATGGGCCCCGGATGGCAGCCCCACAGACGCCTCTGCCATTGTCCCAGGAAGGAAGGAGGAAAGGGCGGGAGATGTTGCGGGAAGGGCGTGGATCAGGTGGCAGGAAGTGGAGGGAGGGCCCGGTCTGGTGGCTTCTGTTTCCTCCGGGGGAGACAGGAGGCCAGCTCATCTCCAGAGACACCTGGGCAGGTGGGGTCGGGGAGGTGACGACGGCGGACAAGGTGCCCAGGTGAACTTGGTCACGAGGAATGTTAAGGGACACCATCCGAGCAGTCAGTTGGTTTCGTCTTGTTTTCTTTCTCTCGGGCAAAGAGCAGGCGCACGCACCCAGGGCCGTGCATGGTGGCGGGTGTGTGGGGGGGAGATGCTGAGGGCGCGGGAGCACTGTGGGGGTGAAGGAAGCACCGACGGAAGGGGCTCGGAGCGGAGGCTGCGTGAGGAGGGTCGGCGTGTCTTCCAGGAGGAAGAACAGGCAGGGCAGAGCCACCCACAGCTCTGGAAGCCTGGGAGGCTGTGGTCAGCAGTGGGATGTGGGGTTTTGCGGTTTCAGAGGCGGAGCCCTGCAGAGAGGCGGGAGGCAGGGGCCGGGGTGTGACCGTGGGAACGAGGAACGGGGATGTGGACTCTGGCCACGGGGAGGTTGGGGGCCTGTCCCACCCGGCCCCCGAGTCCCCGTGTCAGCGGATGCCAATGTCAGCTCTACCCCCGCTCATGACACACGCGAGGCCCAGGCGGGCCGCCAAGGGCTGCGCGCATGCGCCATCCCCGCGAGCCTCACCGGGGCTTTGTGGGGCGAGAACTCTCAGTGCCACGTTACAGGTGGGGAACCAGGGGCTCGGGCCGCCGTCACCTGTGCGGGCGTCAGGCCATGCTGTCCGTCACTCTGCTCCCCGAGCCCGGCCGACACCTCTGCCCTCCCTCCTTCCGTCTCTACTGTCCCTGCTTGTTTTCGTTTGGGCTCCACGGTCCCCCCACCCTCCCCGAGGCTCCCCGCCCCCCCGTTTGTAATGACAACCTCCTCTCCTGCTCCCTGTCCAAAGCGGGGAGCGGTCCCGACCCCTCCCTCGCGCCTGCCTCCCACACTGACAATTCTTGTCACGGTGGCTCCAGAAGAGATGGTGGATCCACCTACGTCCTTCCTCTCGCCCGCCCTCATCCTCACCTCTCACCTGGACAGGTGCGTCAGCGTCCGCATCGGTCCCGCAGCTTCCACGTTTGACCCCTGTCCCCACCCCCTCCGCCACCCCAAGTCCATTCTCCACCGGGGCAGCCGGCGTGTCCTTAAAACGTAGCACGGTGTCCTGTTAAAACCTGCTTCGAACCTTCTCTGGTTTCCCGCTGCCATCGTTATAAAACCTCGGCGCCTGCGTATGGCTCGGTCACTCTGCGTCTGGCTCGGCCTTGTCCTCGAGCTTCGTCCCTCCACCGTGCACCGCGCCCGAGCCACCCTGACGCCTCCGCTCTTCTCCACGTGGTGGGTGCCCTGGTCTTCGCCGTCCCCTCTGCCCGGGTCACGCTTCCCGCCACTGAGCCCTTCTCCGGAGAGAACGTCCCTCCGGTTCCTGTCTCGGCCCGTTTGCTGGCTTCCCGCCTGCGGCCTAGCTCCATCCGTGACCGCTCTGTGGGTTCGCTTCCGTGAGTGTCTTCTCCGGGGTGCTGATCGCCATCCGATGTCCTCGTGTTTTGCCCACTTGGTCTGTGGTCCGCCTCCTACCCCACGAGCCGACTGCGACTGGCCGAGGACGTTGGCCCGCACTGCCCACTTCCGTGCCCTGGTGCGGAGTAAGCGGGTCCTTGGCACACGTACGCGGAACGAAGAGACCACCTGTGTCGCCAGAGCCGAGGCCAGTCCCTGCGGAGTCCCTGGAGCCCCGTCCGGCCCACCTGTGGCAGGGACCCGTGAAAGCAGGCGGAGTGTGATTACGGGGAGAGGGGACTGTCCTGCGGAGTCTGCGCCCCGCGCCTCTCCTTCTGCAGACCTGTCCGCCTGGCCAGCCCTGGGACAGCGCTCGTCCTCGGCGGGGAGGGGTGTCCATCTTTCTGAGACTGGCTCCCAAACCTTCAGGGGAGGACGCTCCCGGCTCCAGAGGATGCTGACCTAGGGCGTGGGGCTTGCCTCATCGGGTTCTGTCCTCTCGCAGGCCGACTGGGATCAGAGCGTCGCCGGAGTTTACCAAGGGGCTGTGCTCACCGGAGCCTCCGCAGCTCCCCCGACCGCCGTCCGTGCTGACCGTGGCTTCCCCCCCTCAGCCAGACCCCCGCGTGTCCACTGGCGCCGTCCACCTGGGTGGTGAGCCGCTCGCTGTGTTCAGGAGACACTTCTCCGCTGTGTGGGTTCACGCGGGAACTCTTAGGCTTACGAAACGCACCCCGAAGTTTCGCAGGACTGCCAGCCCTTGGTGGTTGGCCCCCAGACAGGCCACCCCCATGCCACTGCCTCAGTGCTGGCTTCTCCCCGGCCTCCCGACCCACATGAAAGGGACGAGCCCTTTCGCTCCTCTGGGATCTTGCTGATACCCTGGGGTAGGAGCCCCATCTGCTCCAAACCCTTCCCGACACCCCACCAGCCCAGAGGACGGCCCTCGGTGCAGCAGCACCCCATCTGTCTGGGGAGGCTGGGCCCCCCTTGCCCACTGCTCCCGGGCCACCCCACACCTGGGCGGCCATTCCACACGGATTCCACGGTGCCCCGAGCAGGTGGCTTCTGTGCCCCACGTCGATCTAAATGCCCCGCCCCTATCTAAATGCCCCGCCCCTATCTAAATGCCTGCCCCTGGCATCCCCATGCCCTCACTGCCTCCTCCCCGCTGCCACATATGTCCCTCAGGGTCTGGTGTCCATGCAGCCTCTCCCACCCCCAGGCGGGGAGTCACTGAGGGCAGGGGCTGCGGCTGACTTGGCTGTGGGCGCGCGCGGGGCCGGGCCGCTGGGAGCTGCCTCACACGCTGGCTGCTCCTCTGCTCAGAACGCTCCGCGGCTCCCATCTCTGAACCAAAGCCCGGCAGCCATGTCCCTCTCTCTTCCCTCGCGCCCTCCGCCACCCTCGCCTCCATCTGTGCTTGCGACGCCCTTCCCGCAGACGTGCGGAGCTCCCGGCCTTGCCTGAAGAGGTGTTAGCGCAAATGTCACCTTCTCCCGAGGCCTCCCCTCTCTGTCTTGTGCCGGCCTCGGCCCACCCATCCCCGATGGTGCGGCTGGACCAGCCCGCGTGGTTCTTATTACGGTTGCAAGGCATCCTCGGCAATAACCATAGGGAAGCGTGGGGCGGGGGGGAGGTTTATTACTTACAAGCCGCTGGGCCACCAGCAAGGCCACAGGGGTGACAGGGAGAGGTTCTGCTTTGACCGGGGTCGAAGGCGGGCCTTAGGATTTCCTGGGCTCACTCTTTATTAGTAAATGTAAAACGTAAGAGGGAGGAGAGAGAGAGAGAAAGAAAAAGAGAGAGAGAGAGAGAGAGAGGAAACACGCGGCCCACACCTCCCGTTGTCTAAATCGACCACGACGTCTGAAGCGTGGGGCCCGCCTGGCCCTTCATCGGGCCGCGTGGCCGGCCGTGCGCTTCTCCAGATGGGTCCTGGCCGCAGTGGGTGCCCTGGCACCGGAAGCCTGAGGCGGCCCTTTGCCATCAGAAACAAGAGGAGACGGGGTGCGGGGACCTGCCCTGCACCCCCTGAACCTGCAGCTCGCTCCCGCCCGATCTGTTGCCGTGGGACACGCTGTACGCTCTGCTTATTTCCCTCCTTTCCTTCCGAGCCTCTCCCAGGAGGGCAGGTTCTGCTTTGCTCACGGCGGCCGCGAATTAAGGGCTCAGTCAACACTTGCAGGATGCGCGGACGAATGCGCGCATGAACGAACGCAGGGGTCTCGCGTGCCGTGGGGCCCGAAGAGGTTCTGCCACAGTGACCTTGACCTTGACCTTGGAGGCTGGCTCACAAGAGGGGAACGAGGGAGGAGAAAGCAGAGCTCTCGGGGGAGGGGGGGGACCCTACTTGGCCATAAGATAAAACACCGCCCTTTCCCGCGACGTGGATGGGTCTCGAGACTATCGTGCCAAGCGAGAATAAGTCAGGGGGAAGAAGCTGAGAACCACGTCATTTCACTCACATACGGGATATGAAACCGAAAGCGACGAACGAGACGCAACAAACGAGAAGACGAAAACCTCGCCCACGCCAACAACAGCTCGGGGGAGCGGGGAGGTGTCAAGGGGTTTGGGGGGGGCGGCAAACGTACGGCCACGAGGGAGACTTCGACGGGGCGGTGGACACGCGACGCCCTGTACGGACGACGTATTACAGAATCGGACACGCGAAACCTGGATCATTTTATTCACCGATGTCGTCCCAACAAATTCAATGCGACTTATAAAAAGTGAAAAGGAAAAAAAGAAAAGCAAGCGCAGGGCCCAAACCAGGCCGCGGGAGCCTCGTCCCCCCGCCCCACCCCGCCCCCCGCTTGGCCGGCAATTGTCGCCCCAGGAACAGACGTGGGCGCAGCGGCCTCTTGTGGCCGGGGCTGAGAACAGCACCTTCCCCGGCTCCCATGTGGGGTTCTCACGTCGCATGATTGAACCGTGGCTGAATCCGAATCAGGAGAGGCTGAAAGTGTAA